TATTTTTATACCAGAAAATAGAGCCTTTTCTACTCTTTTGAATCGTATATAACTTATTTTTATAATACGTTCGTAAATGAAACGACGCAACAGACAAGTGAAGCACCCTTAAAAAGAATTCGCACTTTTTATGAGATTCAGAAAAATGCCGCAAAATGTTGATCCCTATATCTCTTCGATACACCGATCCTGCAAAGAATGTTTTTTTATTAGTTGATAGGAAATTTTCTTCTCTATCGAACAGTATATGATATATATTTGCTAGACATTCTTAAAAGAAATGAGACAAGAAAAAAAAGAGAAACACTCGTGTAATAAATTTGCAACTTTTAGATGAACTTGTCAAAAACATCTTGTTAGACAACAATTAATTCGATTTCTATGCACTCACCAAAAAGATCTTGTAAAACGATAGTTAATTCGACTTTTATGAATTCGTTAAAAAAATTTTGTAAAACGACAATTAATAATAATTACCTGTCGTCTACAAGATGTTTATGATTAATTCGTATACAAATTACAAATTTATTACGCGAGTCTTTCTGTTTTTTCTTGTCGCATTGCATTCATGAATGTCTGACAAATACAAATCATATACTGTTTGATTACGGAGAAAGTTTCCTATCAACTGATAAAAAAATATTCTTTTCTGAACCTATTTATCAAACGGATACTAGGATCGACATTTTATGCGAGGCTTTTTTTTTATAAAAAATGCGAATTCTTTTTAGATGTGCTTCTCTTTTCTATTGCGCTGTTTGATTGATGACGTGTCATAAAAATAAGTTATATACGATTCGAAAGAAGAGAGAAAGCTCTATTTTCTCGTATCAAAACATTTCTTCTAGCACCCTTCTGTCAAGGAGAACTAGACCTCGACATTTGTCCCATCTCTTTTGCATCGTACGTTAGTTGAAAATATAATACGATAGTGAGTGTTGAGTAGAGTCAAGGTGAAGGTCAGGGGTGCAGGAACACTGAAAAATGGCTTCAATGAGACGCTAAACGGTGAAAAAACGACATAAATATTGTTCACCGTTTTTTCATCTAAGCGGCGTTAAACGGCAAAGTTTATATTACGGCTAAAACACGGTCCATAACTTTATCACGAACAGCTATCGTTTTCCATCGTTTAAGGCAGTAGTCATGGCAGCTTTTTTACCGTTTATTGCAGTATATGACGTCGTTTCTGACCTGCGGAATCAATGAGCTCTGATACTCTTACACATGATTAAGCCGACCGAGTTGTTCTATGTATGCACAACCCGTCGTCTAAACGCGTGCTTATGCACGATTAACTTTTTTTGCATAAATAAAGTTGTGTATGCATGAAACATGTATAACATAACTATATGCGTACCTGTGTACGATTACCATCTCAATCTGTACCGTACATAATCTATACATGGATAAGATGGCAAATTGTGATCTGATGGACTACATTTTCTAAAGCAAGTGTTCCTATTGAGTTAACGATTTCAAACAGCACAACGGCAAAAGATCGGACGGATCGTACACGAATGGCTTGAATTTGCATTAGTTGGTGAATGACTATATAGTGACAGGATTCATTTTCAAATTCGATGAATAAATGGCTACTTCTTTCATATGAATCTGTGTGGCTATATCTCGTTGAATGCGAAATTAAACCTGCTGTGCAAGCACATATACACTTCTAATCTTACATGTTAAAAAAAAGCATTTACGCGTATACATGCATAATTTTAATCATAACTAGGAGTGTCATGTAAACATCGGGTAGCGTTGGAACACTTCGCATTTCACCGAGTGATTATTGGCAGCACGACAAACACAGCACGCGTTCGAAATGTGAGGATGTGGGTGCGTGTGTGGGGTTTGGGTTGGTTAGCTGTGGATATTAGTCTTTTTTTCATGTGCACCCGCACCCGCACTAGAGATCTGTGGAGTCACGTTTTTTAACTCCAACTCAGACTCCGAAAATTTTTTAAGATTCCAACTCCGACTCCGCTTTGAAAGTTTGTTACAACTCCGATTCTGACTCCGACTCCGGAAAAATTCTGAAATTGTTTTTCTATTTAAATCAAGATTCCACTTTGCTAATAACGATGATGAAAAAGATATTGGCGTTCTGAATTTTTGGCATAAATCACAGGGTTTATTTCCAACGTTATCTTCAATTGCGAGAAGAATCGTTGCAATACGGGCTTCAAACATCACGATTGAATGCCATTTTTTCATCGTCGAAAAACAGTGTCGGCGAGCGTAGAATAAATTTTCGCGGTGAAAAGCTTCATCAGCTCATGTTTTTTTAAAAAAACTTAGTTTTATCTAAAGAATTTTATCAGACCAAGATGACACCAACAAAAAGATCAAAATTTGACCCAGTTTCAATTATGTCAGAACATTCACTGAAACAGTACTTAAAAAAGCACGTGAAGAAGATGAAAATATATCTAATAACGAAAGTGGAGATATTGACTGGTGCTAATCTTTTTTTCTTCGCAGTAATCACTTGTAAAAGTTAATTCAGTGTGGATGTTTTTCAGCTTTCTTTCCATTTTTCTATTTGATGTTACTTAGTTATTGAACTAAAAGTTCTTGCTAACCAGAAGTTACAATTGTGAAAGATAACTGTTGCACACGAGAAGAATGCAATAGGCTTTTCGGAGTGTCTATATTTTACCTCGACTCCGGCTCCGACTCCGACGGAATCGGAATCGGGTTTCGGAGTTAGATGTAGATCTCTAACCCACACACGGACATCCCATAGGGTGTGGGTGAGTGTGGGAGTGGGGCGAGGATGTGGGTGAGTGTGGGAGTGGGGGTGGGAGTGTGGGTGGGGGTGGGAGTGGGGGCGAAAATGTGGGTGGGTGTAGGAGTGGGGGCGGGGGTGTGGGTGTGGATGGGTGTGAGGTGTGGATGTGGGTGGGTGGGAGCGTGGGTGGGTGTGAGTGTGGATGCGTGTGAGTGTGGATGGGTGTGAGTGTGGGTGGGTGTGAGTGTGGGTGGGTGTGAGTGTGGGTGTGGGTGGGTATGGGTGTGGGTATCGGCTGTGGGCGTGGGTATGGGTGTGGGTGTCGTTGTGAGTGTGGTCGGATATCACAATTACACCCACGCCACTGACCCACACCTACATCCCACATCCACACCCAGCCACCCACACCCTAATTAATGCTAATTAAGGTGAGTACTCATCGTAATTAGCGCTAATTAGTTGAGTACTTACATTAATTAGTGCTAATTAGATGACTACTAATTAAGTGAGTACTAATTAATCCATTATCACTTATTTAACAAACACATAGTGCCTTAGCATCAGAATTCATAAAACAGACTGGATATGATTATTAAAATGTTGATGCCTAAGTGAGGATCAAATTTGGAGTTTACGCACTTTGGAGCTCACTTTATTTGCCCCAATAATCTAGTTCTTCACTACACATGAAAAATGATTAACACCTATGAAACGCGATATGCACCAGATACTCGACGATATTTTGCACAAATATCTATCAGATGATTTCAAACTGATTGTCGGCAATCAAAACAGTCGAGATAACAAGAGAGAACTCATACGAAAGCGTCCACCACCGTGGTTGCTAACAAACAAGAAGAAGAAGAAGAAGAAAGAAGAAGAATACTCCACCTTTCGGCTACCTTTCAGTATAGGGTAATGTCCGAGGACATTTTCATTAGACCGATATTTTTTCCTACAACTATTTCTAGCCGTAGCTCTGGACAGAAGGCTGGCCTGACTCAGAGTTCTTCCGCTCATTTGAGCTCCCTGTACACATCGACTAACCCCATACTAGCTATAATAGCTGGTGTATGTCACAATGTAGCCAGTGTGCTACTGTACGGGTAATCCGAGACAAAATAGCCGTTAGTGACTTGTCTAGGGTCATTCGATACCTGGGGATGGCGAGGTTCGAACACAGTACCTTGGTAGTGTGAGTCCAACAACTTCACCACTCAGCCATGGCGACTTAACAAACAAACAAGCAAAAAGTAAGTATTTCCTCTACTATCCTTCAACTAAAACAACGATTATTCCATTTTTCTTTCAACAGAACCAAAAAAATCTAAGAGCCCACCACCATCATCTTCATGGAACTCGTACCATGACATTTCATTTACAATCGTTTCTTCATCGATCAATCATTAAAACCACAATACAATGACCAATTCATGGAGAAATTTTCCATTTACTTCATACTAATCAGAACCAGATTCATTGTTTCTTTGTTTTTGTCTGTTCTTTCCTTATGTACCAAAACGTCTTCGCTTATTTTGTTACAGTAAACTCTTAGTACAATCTTTGAATTTACTAGCTAAACAAGAAACAGTCAGTTATGTGTTGCAATTTTTCCTTATAGATCAAGTATACCTTCTAAACACTGATTGTCCTTATACAGGCAAGACTAAACGCAATCAAAATTCTCCAATCCGCTCGATTGGACACGACAGAACTGTCAAGCCATTTGACAAGATCCTTAAGCAAGATCGAAACAGGTCGTGGTCCGCTTGTCTCACCCTCACCCTCATCTCTACTTCGTGCGAATTTCAGCTTTCAAATCCGAGATCATTTAGATTTTTGGATTTGACATTTGAAATTATATCTGAAGTAAAAACTACTTAATGAAGACCCTTGAGAAAGGTCGAAACCGGTCGTAGTAATTTCTATATAATGCTCACACTCTTACCCTCACCTTCAACGCTTATCTCTTTTAATTTTCTTATTAAAGTAGAAAGAAATGAAGAGTATATCGAAATAAGCGGATAACTAGTGCTTTTGATGGCCTCTTGAACAGTAACCAATACATTAATAAACTTAGTAAAAGTAGTTAAAGTCTTTGTTTGATATAATTTGATTGATATTGTCATTTATGCTGTAGTTCATTATTTTATCAAGAAAATTAATCTAAACTAATATTGAATTATAGTTTTATTATGAAGAAAAAAACAGAGTTTAATAAGTGTAGGCTTCATTAAATAATTTAAAATATGAATGTTGCTGTTCATGGTTGTTCTAAGTTGCATTCATATAACATAAAACTATCATCTATTTTCGTAATTTTCTTGACTGTTAATAAGCTAAAACAATTCAATAAGACTTCATCTTCACTTTTGAATTCAGATTCTGCAGATATACATTTGGGTCTATTTGATTTTGTGCAATCGGCAGAGATTTCTAATAAAACACCATTTTTGCCACCAGTATACACCCTTGCCATACCTTTATCTAAACTTGTTGATAAAAAAGCAGGAAAAATAATAGTGTCATTAACGTTGAACTTTCTCAAAAATTCATTGAAACTATTTTCTCTTGTCAAAGATAGACCTCGGTATAATTTTACAATTTCTCTATGCGGCATTGTATTGAATGTGTCTGAATAGATCAATAAAGAATATCTTAATGCTTTAATATAATCTTGAATTAATAAAATCAAATCTTCATCTAATAAATTAAGGATATCATTAATTATTTTGTAATAAAAAGGTGCTGACGCTGTATATAAACGTATAATGTTCTTTTCTGCTTCGCATCCACTTAAAGCTTCAACAAATTTTTCAGCACAAATCATTAAATTTTCAAGTTTGAAATGATCAGGAGGAATACCATCTCGAAAGATATTTTTTGATTTCAATGATTCATATAATTCTTTCATATGATTTTTATGATAGTCGATGCTTAAATTAATATCCGAAAAATTTGAAATTATAAAACCATTTTCTTCTTTTGATAGATAATATTTATATTTTTTTAATTTCAATGTAATATCTTCGAATGACAAGCCATAGTTGAAAAAGTAAATTTCACCAATTTCGATATCTTTGATTCTTTGAATAACTTGAGAAAATTTATTTGTAACGAGTAAAACTTTCTTATATTCTTTTGCCCATGTTCGATGAGATTCAACTGCGGAACAATAGATAATTATACCTTTGATATGAAAATAATATCCTATTTCAGAAATAATTTCTTTTCCAGCTGATCCCGATGTGATTAGGATTAGATTATTTTGAATATTAGATTTGATCAATTCAATTGATTGCTCTATCTTATAAACTGATAGGATTCGATATTTTTCTGTTGAAAATTCTTGTTTTAATGTTTCAATATGGTTTCGATTTTCATCATTTTCAATGTTTTTATCATACCAAACAATATCGATCGTGGATGTTTGACCATGAGTAGAATCGTAACGTAATTTCTTTGAAAAGTCATCGAAGTATTGGTTCAGATTTTCTATTTGCTGACTGTTTTGAGTTTGAACATTTTCAATGTCATTTTTTAAGTGTTTGTCTAATGAGTCTAATTTCTTTCGGAATACAATTTCACTAGCTATACCACTACCAAAAACTCCTACACCTAATGTTGCAAGACTAAATAATGTTGCGCCACCAAAAATAGCAATAATTGAGGTTATTAAACTGAGTAGTCCAATACCTGAGAAAATCTCTATTAGACGCACATTTTGAGACGTTTTAACTAGATCATCAATTTGATCAATCAATTCACTTAAATAATTTCTTATTCTTATGGTATTGATTGTTGTTTCAAGCTGATCAAGTGCGTTTGTAAGTATTTCTTTTGCATGTTCTTTTTGTGCTGAAATTTCATCCAAGATATCACGAATATTTGAATCATATTGTGTTTGAATTTGAAGTATTTTGTATTTAAGATTGTGGGTTTGATATAGAATTGAATGATAAATTGCATGTCGTCTACGCAAATCATTAACTTCATAGAGTACTGCTTTTAAACCTTCTATTAATTTGTTAAATAGCTTTGTCAATAATTTTTCAAATATGGTCTGCTATTTCTTTGCTCAATTCAATAACTCTTCTTTGTCCTAGAAGGAAGAAAAGCGAAAAACCTAATTCTTCTTGAAATACCATTGAATAATAAAATTCTGTTTGCCCTTCCGATCAAATGGGTATGTTTAATCTTGATTGAAAAAAATGATGCTTCACTAGATTAAAGTTCATTTAATAGGAACTGTATCGAGTTGAAAGGTTAGTTTTAGAATTATCATAGCACTGCCATGACCAGCTCGATTTTGAAATAGAGGAAAAGGGATTTTACCTTTTCCAGTAAAAATTTTCGTGATAATTAAAACTATCTATTTCAAGTTATTCTTCTCACGTTGTTTACTTAGCATTAGTCTTTGTCGGGTTGATCTTGTCCGAGTGCTTAAAAAATACTGGTAAGTTTTGTGCTGAATTGTCGTGAAACAAGCCTGATTTTAACGAAGTAACATGATCACAAACACAGATTGTACACAATCAATTCAATCTTATTCATAGCAAACTAAGCTGAGGAAGGTAAGTCAGGAAGTAAACAAAGACCTTGAATAGATTTTCTGAGTGATGTTGTTCTGATGAAGATAATTTGAAAGCTGCTTGTCATGATTTCAATTTAAGAATGTCATCAAAATCGATAAGTAGAGATATGTTTTTCAAAAATCAATCAAGTTCAACTGCTACTGAAACATTTACTAAACGATATACAATCTTGCAATAATTTCTTTATTTGATTTGTTGAGAATTAGTGCTGAGAGGATTATTATTATTTTACGTACACCCATGTTTCGAACAGGTTTTCGTACAGTTTTAACTTTGCGCGAAAGACGTCTTGTGCAAGGTATCTTCTCTACACTCTAAAAAAAAAGTTTCCTAGAAAATCCTTAGAGGGTTTCCGAATTTGTTACTATAGGAACCCCTTTAAGTGTTTCCGAAGAAGGGTTTCCGAGGTCTCGGAAACACATAATGTCCATCATATCGGAACCTCAAATACTCATTCGGAAACCCAAAAAAAGGTTTCCGAATGGAAAAAAGCTGTAGCTAGCTACTCAGAAAAAAGGTGTCATACTGAACCTTTTAAGGTTCTAGATTTGGGTATCATTTTCCGAGCCATTTAAGGTTTAATCAAAAACTGGTTCTAGCTGGAACCTTTTCCTTTTTCTTCCAAAAATGGTTCTAGAGTAGTAAAATGTAGTCCGCCACACTCAATTACTCTAGTCAGGGGCGGCGCGAAGAGGTCAAAGCAGGGGGGGGGGGGTACCTTCGAAAAATCGGAGAAAATCTGAGGAAGAAATGTTCTGGGGGGGGTACTTTCGAAAAAT